CACACACACACACACACACACACACAGTCACACATTCTGACACATTCACAAGCTGCTGTGCCCATTGTAAGAGAACCATGTTTACAACATAATTTTGTATTTTTTTTGTTTTATATTCTCTTTATGTCAAACTAAAGTAGTTCAATGACTTCTTATCTACACAAATATAAAAAACTAAACACTGTTGACAATACATGACAGTTTATTTGTGTTGTATGTGGTGTGTTTACACTACTGGTCAAAAGTTTGCCAACAAACCCAATGAACAAATGTCTGCGGCAGAAAAAAAAGGTTAAGAACGCCAAAAAAAAACAAACTACTTAAAGAAACAAGTACATTTTAACAGAACAATGCCTGTTCCAGTGGTTCCAACGTAATGGTGGACTGCAGGAAGTAGTATTTTAAAGGTTTGCAATCAGTGCAGTGAGAAAAAAGACAAGTAATAAAGGAAGACAGACTCGTTGGTCAGGGGTTCATCTTACAGCAAGATAATGAAGGAAAAACTAGACTGGATCTCAACATGATGGACGACCAGCACAGTCTTCACACTTCACCCCATCGAGCTGATTTGGGATAAACTGGACAGAACCGGGAACATATCTGTGAGAGCTTGTGCAGCAGACTTTTCTGATAAAAGATCACCCCAGTACGCTGCTGGATTGGTCAAAAAATAGATTAAACTCAGGATTAAAGATTCCCTGACTTCTATTTGTTCTATTCTCAAACATTACACTAAGTAAAGTTTCAGAATTGGAGGTGTTCTCAGGCGTTTGACCAGTAGTGTAGTTGCCTTTCTTATTCTCGATTGGATCCACTTTAAACAGCTGCAATTTGCAAAGGTGCCAGATACACACATTTCAGTTTGTCAAAGTGAAGATTCAGATTTTTGCCTTACAAGCACCATGGTTCTATAAGGGAAATCTCATAATGCATAATATTATCATCACTGCCTGACCCAATGTGGAAACCCTGTGGACTCCAAAAGCACAAACTTAAACACTAAACACTTCCAACCTGGTGGACTAAGGGTTTTCAACCATTTTGGGATCCAGAAGTTATTGTGTCAATGTATTTATGGCAGATCCACGATCACCACACAGCACTCTTTGACCATTGAGGAGACCTTAATGTTTAATTTTCTCTGATTGCTCATCCACAGTTAACACTTTTACTCTTGTATCATATCTGTGATCTCACTTTCCTTTTCTTTTCAAGAAGAAAAAAAACTTGAAATGACACTATGTGTTTGCAGCCTTTTTAAACAGATCTCCAACAAGAGGCTACAAGAATTTTGTTCATTTTCAGGAGAAATTCATTGAGAAGCTTCAGGCCGGGAAGTCAGGGATTGTGCTTAAAAAAAAACGTTAAATGCACGTCTTTCTACTTGCATCTTTAAAAATGAACAAAAAAAAAAGAACAAAAAAAAGGAGAAAAATAAAACAGTGTGGAGAATCCAAGATGGTTGTTTTCTCTGAATAAACTGTGAACATAAAAAAAGAAATCTCAAAGGAAGAGGGCCACTGTGTCCGCAGTGAAGCCATCTGTCTTGTAAAAGGAGAGTGTTGTTGTTGATGTCACCTTTAGCATTGTAAGATGTACAGTGTGAAATAAATATGCCTGTGCAATGTGTAAATAACAGCATGATGATTACTAGTTTTGCTATATGATAAAAAATAAAAGCAATTATTTTATTAAAGTTCAGTTTTTTAATGGCTTTTTGGAGAGTGCTATGTTTTACTTGCAACTATAACAAGAACCCTGGATTCTTGAGGAACAAATCGAAAATGCACCAAAGAGAAAGACAATCAGCTGCAGCTCTGTGACAACGTGACCCACGTATGTCACTGTTACATCAATACAGACACCAATGTAGAAAAACAACTTTAGATGGAGTATACTATATTATCAGATAATCAAAATGAACAAGATAATGGGACTGAAAAGGGGGAAGAATAACAAAAGAAAGGGGAAAAAAACTCAGAAAGAGGGAGGGAAACAGTAACTGCAGTGATTGATGAGTCACATGATTGGTGGATGAGTCATCCATCTATACACTTTACTGCGCAGGACCACATGCTCAAACACACACACACACACACACACACCCACACACACACACACACATTCTCTTTGAGCTGTATAGTAATTTAGCTTCTGGCATTCAAGATAAAGATTGAGTCGTGTTCCCTCCTGACTGGAGCCAGCCAACTGGCCGGTGGAAGGGTGTTTGGTAGATAGGTTTTTGCCATATCTTGTTCCCACACCTCCTCCTCACTCTTACTTCACACAAGCAATATGCCCTCCCGCTATAATTCTTTGAAGTGCTCCTGGCTGCTGCTCGTTTGGTATCGAAATTAACCTTACACACGCCGTGGTACAAACACTGACAACGATTAGCGGCCTGTCAATATGGCCTAATTGCGTGTTATCTTGCCAGGTTGCTCGACATTGATTGAAAAGGTACCTTTCATGGCTTTATCTTGAGCGAAGCCTGCGCACCATCTTATGCATTCAGACTTTTAATCACACCATGTACCTTCTGTCGAGAGCCCAGCTGGACATTCACCGGCCGACTGTAAGAATGAATATATTCATTTGCTGTGGTCTCAACTGTGACAATCAGCCAGTTGTGCTGTGATAAAGAAAGGGACACAGCAGCCAGCAAAGTGACCCTGCCTGTACCATTCATAGTTTATGTAAGTGTAATAATAATGTGATTCTATGGTTGTGTTGTTCGTTGGAAGAAGTAAAAGAATAGTTCAACATTTTGTACATTTGCAGATATTTACAACAGAAGATCAATACTAATATATCTAAAATGATTTTTGGTTATAGTAAATAATATTTAATTTTGTAAAGTGTAGTTTCAGGGGGCACGGTGGTGCAGTGGCAATGTCCGTCCACAGCAAGAAAGATTTTGTGTTCGAACCTGCCAACCAAGGTCTTTCTATTAGGAGTTTGCATGTTCTCAAGTGTGGGTGGGTTTACTCCGGCTTTCTCCAACAGTCCAAAGACATGAACCTGAAAGGGATAGTTCACTGAAAAATGAAAATTCACTCATCTACTCACCTCTATGCTGATGGAGAGGTGGGTGAAGTGACTGGGCAGATGAAGAGAAGTAAACAAGTTAACAGTTGTAGTGCCGTCACTAAATCTGAACTGTCCTTGCAAAAAGGTGCATTAGAAGTCATGGTGGCCACATACTGTGGAGTTTCTCTATTGGATGAATTGATGAATTTCTAAACCTTGGTTTGTCTATACTCTTTCTGAACATCAAAGTGCGTTCTCACAGAGATATTTTGTACCTTTTCGCAAGCTGCTATATCTATATGGCCTCCAAACTAAACCTTGGGTCCTATGAATACTGCAAAAGAGAAAAAGGAATCTTCCTCTGGCCTTACTCTATGAACTTTCTCATGCTACGTAAGCAATACTTAAAATTAAGACGATGTTAACAGGAAAGATAATAAAACTGAGTTAGCAAAATATATCTAAAACATAAAAAATATGCTGGATATATTTGGTATGTTTAGGAAGTAGTATCTGAAATAAGTTGATGAGAGTCTGCTGGTGTTTGGATGTTTCCCTGAAGAATGACTCCATCAGTAACATCACAACATAACATGCTTTTATCCAAATGTTTGGCTGTCGCACTTCACTATTATGATGGCTTTCATCTCTGCAGATCTAACAGGACACTGCGCAAACATCTGCCGCTCTGGACTCTGATCAACAAGATCATAGAATCCTGAGACTGCTTTCAAAAAAGACCAGAAGTTTAAAGGTAGCGGCTGGCTAAGAAAGTAAGGAGACACTTGAGAATTAGGAGCATGTCAGTTCTAATTGATATGATT